CAGGTGGGCAGACCTGGTCCCCAGGGAGTGCATCTTGTGCTACAAGAGGGAACTCTACATACAAACAGTATGGCATGCTCTGGGCTAACTGCTTAGGGACAAACATAGGACTTGGTCTCTCCCAGGCCTGGTTTCCAAAGAAACCAGGTGAGGATGCCTTCTGGAACCACCTTGAAAGGCAAAGAAAGGGATGGCTCTCGGGTGTCCAGGGATTTGCTTCTGATACTTCGTGGTATTCACAAGGCTCACACTCATCCATCTACTCTGGAGGGTCTCCTGGTCCAGGTACTGACCCTTTACATACTCCTCATTGCTGCCTGAAACTCCCACACCCTTCTAGCCAGGTTTCTACATCTGGAAAAATCCTTTGGCCTCATCTGGCTTTCACACTCCTATTCTACCTTCAAAACCCACCTTCTTAAACCTTTTTCTATTTCTCTCTCCTCCCATCAGTGTTATTTAATCCCTTATTGATGGAATCCTTGTTGTGACAAATAATGGGACTCCTTTGGTCTGATGTGAAACCGTTTTCAACTTTTCTTTCTTTCTTTTTTTCCCCCCTGAGTTTTCAGATGAAACTTGGCATACAGTAGGCATTCAGTGGACAGCTAGAAGAAGAGACACCCTCAAAAGACATCAGGCGTTGTGTGTTGAGAGGTGGGAATTTCTGTTGCTTAGCAACCAGCAGCCTGTGGCTACAGGAAGGTCTCATCCCTTCTACCCACCAGTCAGCCCCTCTGTCTTCTCTCCGGGCCACAGTAGGCCTCCCTGGAGGTTTCTGTCTAGGGTACCATCTTGATGCCCCATGGGCACGAGCATGGAGGAGGGAAAGCACCCATCATGACAGCTGGGCTACTGCACAAGGCTTCATGTATTTAAATGCAGGAGGCATGTGGATGACTGCAGTAACAGGGAGAGGGGCTTCGTGGCGGGCTGGCTACACATGAGGTCTGCTGGCTCTGCAAACATGATCAACCACCCTTACGCTCTACACAAACCGGCTTTGATGCCCCTTTCTAACAAAGAAAATAGAAGCTCGGAGAAGGTAGTATTTTGCCCAAGGTAACACAGCCTGTGAAGGTGATGACAAATCCATAGGACAATGGAGAATGTCGTTTTGGGGGCCACCCCATGGAGGAGTGGGCTCTTCCATACCTTCCAGAGGACTCTACTAAGTAAGTGTCCAAGCTCCAGAGTGCACGGGAGATTTGGGGGAAACGAAAGAACACTTTAGGGGAAGAGTCCTGCTGATATCAGGGCAGCCATGCACGACCTAGCAGTAGACCCGGCTGCCTGTGGACTAGAATTTGGTATCTGCTAATATTTGGTTCTGGGCAAATTCCTTGACCAATGCAGGCATCTTTCCGAATGGGTCAGGTCTGGACCATGAAGGGCTGCCGTGGAGATGAAACAGGACCTTAGATGGGAAGCCTCTTGTATTCAGCCAGGTGAGAGGGTATCTCACTGCCCTGTCACATGTCTGACATGTCTGTCCACCATGTGGACCTGGTGGGCGAATGTGAGCGCCGTATCTCCTGCTCGCAGGGCCGTGGGTTTTGAGTGTGTGAGTTTTGTCGTATGTGGACAACACAAGCCCCAGCTAGGAGGAGCATTCCAGGCAGCTCCTCACATGTTCCCTGCTCACAGCACCCTCAGCATCCCCAGGGCCCCAGCCTGTCTATGTCCCTTCCTTCCTTTGCTGGTGCCAACATGCTCAGTAGCGGTGGTGGTAGGGGGAGAGGAAGGAGGAGGCCAGGGTGGATGCCCGAGGCGCGGCAGCTCCTGGCTTGGTGCCGGGAGGGACTCTGAGTTTGTTTGAGCACTAGGGGGCAATGTGTCTGTTTGAAAGAAACTTAGAAGCCAGCTCCAGAGGTGTGAGCACACACAGGCACGTACAGGGGTGCCCACACCATAGAGGTGCATACTCTGGTGCACAGAAGGCCCAGGCAGAAGTGAGTGTCCACAACACTCATGTGAGTTCGTGTACACACACACACACACACACACACACAGTGACCTCCAAAGATGCATGCATCTGACATATACAGAAACACACAGATGCCAGCTAACCTCCCAGAGCGAAGACACACATGCAGGTATAGCTCATTTCATTTAGTGTTAAGGAAAGGGCTCTCTTCCTTCCAAACTGTCTCTTGGGACACTCACACACCCCAAAGTGCTGAATCTGGGGAAATATGTCTGTACCTTCAGTGCAAACAGGTCAGATGTGGCTCTTTTCCCCGCCCCCCCCAAGAAGTGTGAAGTAACAGCCCCAACACGGCAAACCAGTGCCCCCCTCCGAGAGCAGGCCATCCTTCCCTAGTAGACACCTCCCTGTCCCCTCTGACAGGATGCACAGCTATCCTGCCTCCTGAGAAGGCTACTGTCCCCAGGATGGACACAAGGTCAGGTGTCACAGCTTTGCTACCTGGGGCAGTCAGTCCCCTGAGAGGGATCCCTGAATTCTCCCCCTTCCTGCCTGGGTTGGAGGGGCCCTAGCTGTGGGCCTGGGGTGGGGGTTACTTGTGGGTGTCTAAGGGGTCCTTATTCCTTTGTGCCTACGCAGGCAGGCCGAGCCCCTGTCTTCTCCCTGACTCTCCTTCCTTGTCACTTTGCTAAGTAATAATTTCCATGTCCAATTCCATTTCTTTTCTAGTTCTGAAACCTCTAAGCTATCAGCAAGAGGATAGTTCGCATGAAAACTAATTACACAAAATCAATATTTAATCACAGACCAACAACCTGATCCTGCAGAAAAATCCTTTTAAAACTCTACCACCCTGCACAAATACTTCTTCCCAATGCTTATTTATGGACCCCGTTTTTTTTTTTTTTTTTTTTTTTTTTGGTGGGGGTAATTTTCATTTTTAATTTCAAAAGAAAAAAAAAAACATCTGAAGACTGCAGGAAAGGCCTGAGCTTGTTGCAGCTTCCTGATCTTTATTTCAAGTGGGGGTGGGGTGTGCTATGGTATGGGGGGATATGAGTGTGTATGGGGGGTGAAGGAGGGGGTGGGGGATGAGTGTGTTTGCGCGAGCACCCGCGCGTGTGTGGAGGGGGGCGGTGATTACTTCAAAAGTCCCTTGGGGCTTCCTGTCTCTGCCCCCCACCTCCACCCCCCCAAATCGAGCCCATTTTCCAGTGTTCCTTTGCTCAGAAGCTCCGGGGAGTAATGAATCGGCCGCGAATGACACGGTAACTTTTAACTCACGCCCGCGACAGTGGAGTGCTTAATCTGAGGTTTTTAAATAAAAAGGGCTCCGGGTTGGTTTTATTATAACGTTTATTTCATTTCAGATTTCATGCGTAATTTAGCAAACGCTAGACAGACTTGGGCGATAAACACTTTCTTTTGTGGGGGGGAAAGGCATTTTTATACACCATGCTTAATTTTATTTAGATTTAATAGCGATATCAAGGCACTTCAACGAAAGTTTTTTTTTTTTTTCTTTCCCCCTTCCTCTTTTAAGAACCCTGGCCTGCCAGCAAAATTGCCTCGCTTTATTTCACGGCAAAGAAAATTAAAGGCCTTTCTGTCCTTCCTCCTCTACTTACACTTTGAGAGGAAAACACGCAGAGGCGTGCTGGCGCGCGCAGGGGGGGGGGTGCGAGCGCGTCCACAGAATAAACACCTCCACCTCCCATCACCTCCAACTTCCAACTTTTAATTGCAAGACAGATTTCAGCCTCCGTGAGGATCAGGAAGATTTAAACATTTAAACTAAGATTATTGGGATAAATATTTCATAGGAAAACGGACAGATATTAAATTACTCCTATTGATTTTAGTATCACAATCCAATTCCGTTCCTTGACCTCTACAGTTTAATTGATCTCTTAAGGAGTTCAACTTCGCGCCCTCCAGGGCCTGGGCCTGCGCGCCTGTGGCCGCCACAAGGTGTCGGAGGCCCCTGTGTGCGCTCTGCGCGTCGCTCTTCTCGGGGTTCCGCATTGTTTCGCCTCGCTGCTCCCGCGCCTGGCTCACCCAAAGTGTCCGAGTGTGCGTGGCTTCTTCCCGGCGGAGCCAGAGGCAGAGAACCGGAAGCCGCGGACGGTGGAAGACTCGGAAAGGAGCAAGCCAGTCCCGGCTCCGGAGACAACCTCACTTCGTGTTTCCCTTCGGCGATCACATCGTGAACTTCCTAGGGCCGACTCCCTGGGGCGCCGCCCCGGGGTGCAGCACAGGGACACTTTGCGACTTTCCCCGGCGAGTTCCAGGGCTGTGCCAGGCGACCCCATTGTCTGTGCGCCCCGCACAGCTCACCGCCCACCTCCCCGCCCCCTGCCCACCCGGCAGGTCGCGCTGGCTCCAGTTGGGGGTGGGGAGTTGGGAACAGTGTGAATGGAAAGGGGCGGACAAAGCCCGGCTCCCGCCGCAGTCCTCTGCTCGCGCCCTCCCCAGCCGGGGGCACCCAGGGCGCACCCCCGTCGCCGTAGGCTGGACACCGAGTAGCGCGGGTCGAGGGCCAGGCCGGCGCAGCCTGGACCCGGGACCACCTTAAGAGCGAGCCCCGCCTCCGGGCCCGCTCGGGCGGCGCTGATTGGTGCAGAGGTAATGGCTGGAATGGATTGCTGAAACGCAAAACTTGTTGCTGCTTCTCCCGGCGCCGGCTAGAGGCAGACGCGGAGCGGGAGCCCGGACCTCGCAACGCCCCGCCCGCCCCGCGCGCCCAGCTCGCCCGCGCGGCCCCTTCCCGGGTCCGAGGGGACCCGCGGAGCGCGGAGGCGGGAACCGCAGCCTCGGAACCACCGTCCGCACGCCTCCCCTCCCGCGCGCGGCCCGAGACGCCCGCGAACTCGCGCGGCGACTGGCGGACGAGCCTGAGCCGCGGAGCCGCGCGTCTCCCGCAGCCGTCGCTCCCGCTCCGGCGCCCGCATCTCCTGCTGCGGGGCCAGCACCGGCGATGACGAGCGGAGCCGCCTGTCTTCTGAGCCGCTGAAGCATTCGCCGCCGACCGCCAGGAGGTGCGGGAGCCCGTGCGGCCCGGGCGCGGGGACTCGGGTCAGGGGAGGGACCAAGGGGCTCCCCTACGGACCCAGCCGCTGCGCCGCGGACTCTAGAAGGTGATCATTCCGCTCTCCCGCCCCTCCCCCCCCCCCCCCCACTTAACTTTTTTGTCTCAGCTCGTCGGCCGCCAGGTCTCCTCTCGGCATATCCATCCCCGGCTGTGCCATCCGCTCGGGGCATGGGCCCCCCGACAAGGCTCCAGGAGGCGCCGCGGCCTCGCAAGACGTGAGAGGCCCGCTTTGGTAGATCCCGAGGTTCCGGAGAGCAGCGGAGAGCTCCCAGCCAGCGCCCGCGCGCCCGGCCGGGTGACGGTGAGCGCTGCGCCCTGCGCGGTGCAGAAGGTCCCGGAGCGCCGGAGCCGCTGCTGAAGCGAGTAGCTGGCCCGAGGCGCGCGGCGGAGCAGGCTGTCATGCCCTATTGATCCCCCCCTTACCCCCGCCAAGTATGTTTGGGCTGGACCAGTTCGAGCCCCAGATCAACAGCCGGCACGCTGGCCAGGGCGAGGGGAACTTTAATGAAGCCGGACTGAACATGAACGCCCACTTTAAGGCTCCTGCTTTCCACGCCGGGCCCCCTCCTGGCCCTGTGGACCCTGCCATAAGCGCTCTGGGTGAACCCCCGATCTTGGGTTTGAACATGGAGCCCTATGGCTTTCACGCGCGCGGCCACTCCGAGCTGCACGCCGGGGGACTGCAGGCGCAGCCTGTGCATGGCTTCTTCGGTGGCCAACAGCCTCACCACAGCCATCCCGGAGGACACCACCCGCACCAGCATCACCCTCATTTCGGGGGCAACTTCGGTGGTCCGGACCCAGGTGCCTCGTGTCTGCACGGGGGCCGGCTGCTTGGCTACGGAGGTGCAGCGGGCGGCCTGGGCAACCAGCCGCCCTTCGCAGAGAGTTATGAGCACATGGCGGAGAGCCAGGGGCCGGAGGGCTTCGGCCCGCAGCGGCCTGGAAACCTCCCGGACTTCCATAGTTCGGGCACCTCAGGCCACGCGGTGCCTGCCCCGTGCCTGCCTCTGGACCAGAGCCCTAACCGGGCTGCCTCTTTCCATGGCCTGCCCGCCTCCAGCGGCTCGGATTCTCACAGTCTGGAGCCCCGGAGGGTGACGAACCAAGGAGCTGTAGACTCTCTGGAATACAATTACCCGGGCGAGCCGCCCTCAGGACATTTTGACATGTTTTCTCCCTCTGAATCTGAAGGGCAGTTGCCACATTATACGGCGGGTCGCCAGGTTCCCGGGAGCGCTTTCCCGGGTGCTTCGGCCATGCCCAGAGCCGCAGGCATGGTGGGTTTGTCCAAAATGCACGGCCAGCCACCGCAACCGCCGCCACAACAGCAGCAACCTCAGCACGGAGTGTTCTTCGAGAGGTTTGGCGGGGCCCGAAAGATGCCTGTGGGTCTGGAGCCTGCAGTGGGTTCCCGGCACCCATTAATGCAGCCTCCCCAGCAGGCCCCACCACCCCCGCAGCAACAGCCCCCGCAGCAGCAGCAGCCGCCACCAGGGCTTCTGGTCCGACAAAATTCTTGCCCTCCTGCCGTCCCTCGGTCCCAGCAGGGCGAGGCTGGCACACCCAGCGGCGGCCTGCAGGACGGGGGCCCCATGCTGCCTGGTCAGCACGCGCAGTTCGAGTACCCCATCCACCGGCTAGAGAACCGGAGCATGCACCCATATTCCGAGCCTGTTTTCAGCATGCAGCACCCCCCTCCGCAGCAGGCACCCAACCAGAGGCTGCAGCATTTCGATGCGCCCCCCTACATGAACGTGGCCAAGAGGCCGCGCTTTGACTTCCCCGGCAGCGCAGGCGTGGACCGTTGCGCCTCGTGGAATGGCAGCATGCATAACGGCGCCCTGGACAACCAACTTTCTCCCTCTGCCTACCCAGGCCTCCCAGGCGAGTTCACACCGCCTGTGCCGGACAGCTTCCCCTCAGGACCGCCCTTGCAGCACCCGGGTCCGGACCACCAGTCTCTGCAGCAGCAACAGCAGCAGCAACAGCAACAACAGCAGCAGCAGCAGCAGCAGCAGCAACGCCAGAATGCGGCCCTCATAATTAAACAGATGGCGTCTCGGAACCAGCAGCAGCGGTTGCGACAGCCTAACCTGGCCCAGCTAGGCCATCCCGGGGACGTGGGCCAGGGCGGCCTGGTCCATGGAGGTTCGGTGAGCGGCATGGCCCAGACGAACTTTGAACGGGAAGGCAGCAGCGCGGGTGCAGGGCGCCTGGGCGGCTTCGAGCAGCAGGCGCCCCACCTGGCGCAGGAGAGCGCGTGGTTCCAGGGTCCACACCCGCCCGGAGACCTGCTGCCCCGGAGGATGGGAGGTGCGGGGTTGCCGGCAGACTGTGGCCCGCACGACCCTGGCCTGGCGCCTCCCCCTGCTCCGGGTAGCTCAGGGGTGCTATTTCGAGGCTCTCTACAGGAGCCTCTGAGGATGCCGGGGGAAGGCCACGTGCCTGCGCTGGCTTCGCCGGGGCTGCAGTTTGGGGGCAGCTTGGCCAGCCTAGGCCAGTTGCAATCGCCTGGGGCCGGTGTGGGGCTGCCCAACGCTCCGTCGGAGCGGCGGCCTCCGCCTCCGGACTTCCCTGCACCAGCTCTCGGGGGCCAGCCCGGCTTTCCATTTGGCTCAGGGAGCCGGCAGGCCACTCCACACAGCGCTCCAGGCGTGAACTCGCCCCCGAATGCGGGCTCGGGTAGCGGCAGCTCCGGCGCTGGCGGGGGAGCTTACCCGCCACAGCCGGATTTCCAGCCCAGCCAGCGTAACTCGGCCAGTAAACTGGGCGCGCTGTCGTTGGGGTCCTTCAACAAGCCCAGCTCCAAGGACAACCTGTTCGGCCAGAGCTGCCTGGCTGCTCTCTCCACCGCTTGCCAGAACATGATCGCCAGCCTGGGTGCCCCCAACCTCAACGTGACTTTTAATAAGAAGAACCCACCCGAGGGGAAGAGGAAACTGAGCCAGAACGAGCCCGATAGCGCGGCCACAGCCGGCAACCCGGGCTCGGATTACTTCCCTGGAGGGACTACTGGGGCCCCTGGACCCGGAGGCCCTTCCGGGGCCAGTGGTGGCGGTTCCAAATCCTCAGGGCCGCCTAACCCACCCATCCAGGGGGATGGCACCAGTCTCTCCCCCAATTATACCCTGGAATCAACATCGGGGAACGATGGCAAGCCTGTCCCTGGGGGCGGTGGCAGGGGAAGGGGACGCAGAAAAAGGGACAGTGGTCACGTGAGCCCTGGGACCTTCTTTGACAAGTACTCCACAGCTCCTGACAGTGGGGGAGCACCAGGGGTGAGCCCTGGGCAGCAGCAGGCACCTAGCTCGGCTGCTGGGGGAAGCTCAGTGAACGAGGCCCGCGGGCCCACGCCCCACGAGAAGGCCCTCACATCACCTTCTTGGGGAAAGGGAGCCGAGTTGCTCCTTGGGGACCAGCCGGACCTAATGGCGTCCCTGGACAGCACAGCCAAATCGGATGGTAGTTCCCCACACGTGGGTGAGTTCGCTTCTGACGAGGTGAGCACAAGTTATGCGAACGAGGACGAAGTGTCCTCTAGTTCTGACAACACTACAGCCCTGGCCAAAGCCAGCCGAAGCCCCCTAGTGACCAGCTCACCCAAACTCCCTCCTCGAGGGGTGGGTGCTGGTGAACACGCACCGAAGGCCTCTGCGCTCAGCCTGGGTATCCTGTCTACCTCTACCTCGACCCCTGACAGCTATGGTGGGGGCGTGGGCACCGGCCACCCTGGCACTCCAGGCTTGGAGCAGGTCCGGACCCCAACAAGCAGCAGCGGTGCGCCGCCCCCCGACGAGATCCATCCCCTGGAGATCCTCCAGGCCCAGATCCAGCTGCAGAGACAGCAGTTCAGCATCTCGGAGGACCAGCCCCTGGGGCTCAAGGGTGGCAAAAAGGTTGAGTGTGCAGTAGGGGCCTCAGGAGCACAGAATGGTGACAGCGAGCTGGGCAGCTGCTGCTCTGAGGCTGTCAAGAGCGCCATGAGCACCATCGACCTGGATTCTCTGATGGCAGAACACAGCACCACCTGGTACATGCCCCCTGACAAGGCCCTGGTGGACGGTGGAGATGAGGACAAGACGCTGGCGCCCTGGGAGAAGGCCAAGCCCCAGAACCCCAACAACAAAGAAGGTATATGTATAACTGTCTTCCTTGTTTTCTGGTGCCAGCCCTAGTGTGGGCTGGTCCTTCCCGTCCACCCTCTCTGGCTGCACGGTGCTCTGCTGTCAGATACATTTTGGTTTTCCTGGTGGCAAGAACTTAAAGTTCTTCTACCTCCAGATTTTAGCTGAGTTTTTCAGGGTTCAGCCCTTGGAGAAGAGCTGCCCTCCCCTGTTTCACACAGCTCTTGCTGGCCTCAGCATTCAGCCCCGCTGCTTAGGTGTTCTGGGCCCTTCTCAGGCAGGATACTAGGAAGGTTGTATTACCCCACCCTTTCCTCCTTACCCTTCAGCAGGAGTTGGCTTAGGTGGCAATACTTTTGCAAAGTCCCCGCCCTGGTGTGGGCAGTGTCACTCAGAGGCCAGGCCTCATTGGATATGTGAGAGATTAGCTCTCACCTGGGGACCTGCCAGGGTTCTAGGCAACCACCACAATCCCAGGTATATAATCTTGATATTGGGCACGAGGGTTGAGGCTGGGTTCCGCCTGGCAGCCACCACACCACTCCTTCAGGACGTCGTTTGTGTTTGGGGATATGACTATGTGTTTGTAACACACAAAGGACCTTCGATTGTCAATATCTCACTTGGCGTTGGTGACAGATGTCTAGTCCCAGGTCTCATTTGCGTTCTGCACACCCCTTCCCCACCAGGCCTGGAGGCCTTTAACGTGGGACTGACAGGGTCAGTAAAAAAGTCTAAGGGATCTTAAACCTAAAGATGAGTAGGCTGCAGTGAGTTTAAATTTTATTTGAATGGGGCTTTAAAATTTTTTTTTTTTTTTTTTTTTTTTTTTTTTTTGCTTTACAGAAACATAGACAGTAGCCTTTTAAAATTGGTAACATTGTTTCACCTCTTTCCTGACTCTGCTTCTAAATCTGCCTTGTGTTCACTGGGTTTTTCTGGACAGAACATTATCATGGTGCGTCATCCCCCCCCTCCATCTCCCCCCCCCCCCGTGATGTGGCTAGTAAATTTAAGCCTCTCTTTTAAAAATATAACCTCGATAGCTGCTCTCCAGTGTTTTGCTCTCTGCTGAACCCTCCCACAGCCTACTGTGTCTTAAACATGGATCTGGGGAGGGTAGGTTTTAAGAGAATATGACAGGTCCCCTTTGGGAGGATGGAGGTAGGAGCTGGGGGGTGTTGGAACTCTGTCTGGGTAGTCTTCCTTAGGTTCCTGGTTCATGAGTGTGGTCTGGCTGCTTTTCTCTTTGTTCCTCGTTACTGCCCAGCCTGGGATGCCCAGATGCACGCTCTCTTGTTTGAAGCCGGGTGTTTAGCATGCACAGTGGATACCAAGCCCGGCATCAGCATTCTACTGACTACTTCCAGGCAAGGCCAGAAATTGGTTAGTTTGGGACCCTCAGCGGCCCCCCCTCCGGCTTTTAAAATGGAGTTGGACACAGTTTCCTGCCATTCCCCTTATTTTCTTGTGTATAACATCTCGATCTAGCTGGATCGATAGTCAGTTAGCACAGAACTCAGCGCTGTCACGTCTGACCCAGCCTGTCCCCCCCCTCCCCAGTAATTAAAAACATATTGGCCAAAATGGGGTGAGAAAAGTTTTTTAAAAATTGTAAAGAACTAATAAGGAAAAGCGATTAGTATTTCCCCTTCCAGTCTTTAGAAGGACCCTACTAGGTGGAGAACTATTGGGGTTTTAATGAGTTTTTTGTTTGTTTGTTTTGCTTTATGTATCTTCCTGTCTCAATGGGAGAGGTGCAGACTACAAGTTCTGAAATGTCATCATGGATTGTTTTTTCTTTTTAGCTTGCTTAAGTGTCCTGGTACTGTACATATATGGAAACATGTGCCAGTTGTTTCTAGGTTGATTACCCTGTAAACTGGAGGAAAACTCACCTACCTGTGAAGAGGCAGAGACTTCCCTGGGACCCAAAGGGCCAGCTGTCTCCTAAGCCTGGTGGAGGATATCCACTTGACCTCCATTGTTCTTCACTCTGGTACAGAAAGCTAATCCTCTGGATAGCTCAATGCACTGCATGGGCGACTCCCTGACTCTGTCTCCCTTACTGGTAGTAAATAAAGACGATTAAACTTTTCATTATGATAACAACCCACAGTTCCATCTGTATAGGTTGTACAAATAGATACATTCAGCTTTCTGTTGGCCTCTGAGAGCCCTAGATGAAAACCAGCAAAAAGGGCCACTTTTGAATAAGTCAGGAAAAAAAAAGGAATTTTTTTTTTCTTAAAAGTCCCAGGGTCCTGTTTAGCTGGATTGGGTTATCCAGTGAGGCTGATGGGCCTTGAACTTCCAGCCCAGAAAGTGCTCCCCTCCACCACCCTCTAGGCAAAGGCCATTTCTGTAATGATACTTTATTTTGTCTTGCTGTAAAACATGCCAGTACTAATGTGATTAAATATTAACTCCGTTTCTGAAATTCTCTGCTCAGATGACAAAATGCTTGCTAGTCAGGGTTTTACAAAGTGATCCATGCTGGAAGGGGAAGTAGAGACCCACGGAGATGTGCCTTGCTTGTTCTTTGGGCTGTAGATGGTCCCTGGGAGAGGAAGAAAGTTGACTGGCCCATTGCAGTTCCTATAAAGTCTAGGCAGGAAGGTCATGTGGTGATGAGCAGAGCGAGCGTCTCTAGATGACACGGCTCTGACTTCTCAACCAACTGGGCAAATAACTTCTCATTAGGAAATCCCACTACTACTCATGAGGCTTCCTGTACAAAGTCGGAGTACAGGGAAGAGTGGGGTGAGCCAACCTGAATTCGAGGTGGTTCAGATGTCTGTGATGTCAGCAAGGATGCCGTGGCTTTCAGATAGTCGGCTGGACCGCTGCCTACGTGTAATAGGCATCGTGTAGACTTGGGGGGATTTCAAGACACAAAGGAAGGGGAGATTTTTGGTAGACTATGGTAGACAGTGGGCGCTGACTTGGGAAAAATCTGTTCTCTCTCTCTCTCTCTTTGCCCCACAGCACAGGAATTTTCCATGATCTGTCCTGAGTCTGTTCTCAACCAAACTCCCCTCTTTCTCCTTGTAGTCCTGTATATTAAAGCCAGCGGCTAGAGGGTCTTCCACCCAAGTGAGGCAGGAGCCGCCTCTGTCTGCACCTCCGAACCCCCGATTTGGAAGTCGTGTGTTTTTTACAGAGACTTGGGAGACATGTTTGGAATTTTGTGCTCAGAACACAGGCAAAGGTTGAGAAATACTAGGTCGGCAGGGATGGGATGCTAGATTTTTGTTAGATGTAGGGTGGACTTGAGGAGGCAAGGCTGGTCCAGGCTGAGCCCTGGCTGATGGAGCCATGTGTCCATCATTCCTACACTGGGGAGAGAATTTTGAAGTCTCCATCTGGACTTTCCCCGGGAAAGTGAGCCGCTGCTTTTTTCTCCTGCAGCATCACCCAGCTCAGTTTGCAGGTCTTCCTGTGACTTCTGTGTCTTCAGAGGATGTAACCCCAAGCTCCTCAGGTGCTAATCAAGGGTAGTGTAAACAGATAGGGGACCCCCTTTGTGCGGCCAGTGATCTGGCTGTCCGCTCCCTGGCTAGTGGAGGGCATATAGCTACTGTTCTTCCACGCTTGTTTAATATTTCATGGCTGTAATAAACCTGTCTTCCTTGCCCGCCTCCCGACATAGAACCCCAAGTAGCACACATGTGCAATTATACATTCCCACTAAATATTAATAAAGGACAACGGGGTTTTAAGGGGCAGATGCTCAGTACAGTTGAACTTGCCGTCGTCTCTGCTCCCGCATTTTCTTCCCTCCCCATTGTGTTTTACAATTCCTTATTTTATTTTAAATACCAGTGCATTCCAGTGTGCGACATTTACTTATAGTTACACACAACTTGTGCTGATGGGAAAGCCGTTCCTCATGTTAGCCTTCTCTCATATAAATTCATTTGGATTTCTTGTGAGGCCCCTTCAGACCGGAAGAGAGAGGCTGTTGAAATGCACTCCTGTTTTATTGAGGGCTCTAGGAAAGGAGCGTGGGTGGCTTAATCTCATTTCTCTTTCTAGCAATGAAATTCTATGATTCCTGATATGATTTTGTTTGCCTGACAGAGGTATTTAAATTTCTACAAAGAATCTTAATGGGTCCTGAGAATACAGCTGCCCTCACCAACAAGCTACTTGATCTACTCTCCTGATAAAAATATGCATCTTTAATATGCCATGCTGGGGGACCAGGTGAAATGAGAGGGATGGTATTCTCCTCTGGGTGGAAGGGCGGGCTGGAGGGGATCAGGGGCTCCTCATCCTCAACACTGTGGAATCCAGCAAATCACTAGTGGCCCGTTCCTCTCCACTCAAGTGACAATAACATTGGATTGTGTTCCTTGCCCAGGGAGCAATCTGCCTTGCCAAAACCGTTTAGGAGATAAATACTGTCAGTTAGGAATACTGTATTTACCTCTGTTTGGCTAATTCTAGAGATGAAAAGCCTGCAGCTTTGTATAATGGGATCAAATATCTGGGGAGTGTGTGGGGACACGCAGGCAACAAGAGAAACGGCCAACTCCTCCCTTGCCCAGGGGTCCTCATCTAGTGTGTTTTCCTGCAGCCAGCATGCCCGCCTGCTTTCTAGCCTATTTGGCTAATTCTCTGTTTGTTCTTTGGCCAGGAGGAGCTGGGAAGAGCCCAGCTTCCTCCCCTTCACTTAACTCAGCATCTGTCTGATGAGGGTAGGTTTGTTAGGACGAATCTATTTTTAGGCGTGTCTTGGGTAGATAGATTTGAGTGTGGGATTTGTTTGCTCATGGCAGCAGACATGTTGATAGATCCCCTTAGCGTGTGATGGAGAGGAGATTCCTGGCCTCCCCCATACATGCCGAGGCCAGATGAAGCAGTCTGAGGGCTTGCTGGAGAGAGTCTAACCCGAGTGGGGTTCAGTGTTCTGTCCAATTTTGGGGTGACAAGCAAAGAAAATCAGACCTCTGTGCAGCTTCTGCCTGTACCGCGACAGGCACGTGTGTGTGTGTGTGTGTG